CGGACATTAAATATGACTGCTTACTTTAGTGTAGGCATCCCATCAATCAATCCAAAAAGATCTTCGAATCTTCTCGAGGCAATGTCGAGTTCGTGACCCTCAGAGAACACCCAGAAGACCTCGGATCACGCATGGTGTCGTCCTTGAGGAAGCGCCTCATGCCGAGGCTATATAGAAAATGTTTATTTATTGATGAAGGGCCTCGGCCTATTTCCTTCACGGGGCTTCCGACCCACTTGGCTGTCCTCTTTGCTCTTTTCTGACTGCCCTACACGTGGCTTGCCACGTGGCCATCCTTCTGCAACCCTCGAAACGAGGGGGGTAACAAGTTTCATATGGTGTTTATCTTCAATGATTGGTTCTATTTATCATAATCACACGAGTTAAAACTTATCAGAAAGAGTAATGCTATTCATCCTCACTGGGGATGAATACACAGTCTATGTGGCGTTAATGTGGCATTAAATGATATGTGAAATTAAATGACTTATTTAATTTCACCTATCATTTAAAGACATATAGACTGTGTTTTCATCCCCACTGAAGATGAATGACACTACTCTATCAGAAATACCATTTTATCCATATTTTAGTTAAATGAATTAAGAGGAATAGATATGAGTAATATGAGGAAAAAACTACCATTGTTAGTGGTCCATCGTCATCAAATCTAGGCGCACAACACAAATAAACATGCATAGGGATTCACGTAATAAAGATAGCCCCACTAGTAATTCGTACCTATTCTATGTAGCAATGATTTTAGTGTCACATTATCCAATGCATAAATATATTATAATTTTATTTGACAATGTAATAAGGATCACACTATCACGTAGATCGATACGAAATATCTGTGTGATTTGAATTTCATTATTCAATAATAAATCTATTTGATTAACACACTTCAAACAATTACCCTCCACCATCGCTATTGCATGTGGAGGTAAAAAATAAATAAATAAATAAAAATCTACTTGGCTGGTACGCAGAGCCTTTTTTTTTAACTTAAAAGAAAAAAAATATATCTTAAAAAAAATTGGGTTTAAGGGCCACCCTGCTAACACTCGCTCCTTCCACTTCCACTCATTATTGTTCCCAACATTTTGAACTCAAAATCGAAATTTGATTGCAATAATAAATTTTTTCTTTGTATTTGCCTAATGTTTGGATTATTGCTAAAGTTGAGGATACAATAACTACAAAAGCTATAAATCAAGGACCAATGGTGCAATTTTATCAAGTAGAGAGTCAAGCTGAAAAGTAAACTCTCCCCGTAATTTGCTCAAACATGATCCGTACCCTGTCATCTTCAATTTACATAGCAGAGCACGCCAATTCACTTCTTCAATTTCACCAATAATTCTCAGTTAAAATCCCAATCAAGATGAGTTGACGCGTTCCTTCCCCCAAAATCACCTACAAACCCTAAAACCCAACTTGGATTCTCCGCCTATGGCCGATAAGAATGGAGGAGGAGAAATACTTGAAGATAATGAACAAGAAACTACTAGTCACGAGAAATCGGCGTCGTCTAGTGAGAGAACAACAGCCGAAGATGCTGATACATCGTTATCGCCTCCCGAAACGGCACCGTCTAGTACGAGCCTTGTGGTTGCAGAGAGAAAGTGGTCAAATATGGAGACTCCACCAACGGACGACGTGTGTCCTATCTGTTTCGGGAACTTTAACGTTCCCTGCCGTGGTCCTTGTGGCCATTGGTACTGCGGTATGTAAGGCTGGCTGTTTATTTGTTTCATTTGTGGTTAATTATTAATCTGTTCTTTAGATATTGTTTCTTGGTCAGATAATACTGGCGTTGTTTAAAGATATAACCGCTAAATTAGACATTGATTTTATTTGTGCATTTGGAGATTTAACACACTGTAAAAATTTGACTGAGAAATATTTTGAAGGAACTTACAGATTTGACTTTGAAATTTTGCTGGTGAAATTCGTTGTTGTGTCCTTGAGATGAGTAATCTTTCTTGTAAGCAGTTTTTTGAGGTAAAAATGAACAAATACTCGTGTAGGTTTGTCTTCTAGTTTTAAAATGAAAAGAGGAGTATGTTATAACTCTCCATTGTTAATAATGTCTAAAGCTGTGGCGAGGCTCATTCTCTGCTGCTAACCGTGGGGACCTGTTCAACCACACCTTGATGCCCAATATCATATAATGGCCGGCGAGAATAGTTTCGCTGTGACTTGCCCGTGATCCATGATTATGCACTGAGAGAGTGCTGGTAAAATAGATTATGACGATTTGATTATATTTTATCTTTCGATGATTGTTTGGTCACTCTTGGAGGCTTCTGTTTTGTATTTGTACTTGCAAGAATCTTGTTTGATTTTATATTTTTACTGATTGTTTGCCATATTGAAGAGCTTCATATGATTTTCACTATTTCCTTGTTGAGAGAAAAGAGAATGCGACCAGTTCTGTCACTCTTACAAATATAGAGACTTCTAAAGTCACATTCTTCCAGTGTGCTCTGAATGTATAAGATTATTACCTGTTCTTTATGTCTAGTTAAAAAAAAAAAAGGAGAATTTTGGATTGAAGCATTTGTCATGAATGCTGCTTTCTGACCTCTCTTCCTTTTTTGCTTTTGTTTAAAATTCAGTTTTAAATGTGTCTCACCATTTGACATTTGCCTCTTGTAGGAGGTTGTATTTTGCAGTATTGGAACTTCAGTGCTGCATTGCGGCCTTGCAAGTGTCCAATGTGCTCTCAGCACATAACTAAATTGACACCTGAAGCATCATTGTACAGTCAGCACGAAACCGAAATTTCTCAGGTTTTAAAGAATGTTAATAATTACAACCGTCTGTTTGTGGGAGGTATTTCTGGATTACTGCTGGTAGGTTGATACATCTCTATAGACATGATACTTGAAAACATATGCATATACTTAAATAGTGGGGATGCTAGTTAGACGTCTTTGAAGGAATTTTGAGATTGAATAATAAATGGAATTGGATGGGCATTTTGATCACCATTCTATAAAATATTGCTTCAAGTTTTGTGAAGACTCTAAATAAAACTCTAGCATTTTGCCAGGGTTTATGTTTCCATAATATATTACTTCCAGTTACATTAACGTTACTTATGGACATGTTTCCATAATATATTGCTTCCAGTTCCATCAAAACAGAGCACGCAGGAATTAACGTTAGTTATGACAAATGTTATAAAGTGAATAAATAGCTGTCATTGTTGATGATCACTATCTCAATCTGAGAATCAAATATGATGTTTAATGACCATTTTATATTGGAGTTGGATTCATGTTGCGTAATATTTAGGAGTATCAGAGGAAATGAAATTAGAAAGTTGATTGATGACCCACAACTCAATAAAACCTTACTTTATATTGAGGAAAATTTGACAACAAATAATGCCAAAATATTTCATTTATTTTTGTCCCCAAGTAGATATTATGGCTACCCTGAAAAGATCCAGGAATTGGCATGCTCAGAGATGAATGTTGTGCTGTTGTCACTATGTACGACATTTAAGAATCACAAGTTGTTAAGATAAGGACAAAGTGCCGGGGTCAAAAATTAGGGGTGGATCCAGGACCAGACTAAAAATAAATTTTAAGTTTGGCTAATGTGTGTGTGTATATATATTGTCATTGTTGGAGAACTACAGTGTTTTTGTTGTGTAAAACTATCTATATTGCAAAAAATTAACTAGAAATTTGTCCTCAAAAGAGAGAAGTAGAAACTTTCATTTATTGTTTGTTGCAAGTTTTATGGGATCAATGACTTGGAGCATCTTGGTTTCTAATCAGCATTGTTCATTTGAAATGTTATACTCGTTGATTTTCATACGATTGTAAGGGCATGTCATAACATTTTCAATACTTTACTGGACCTTTGATATTTTTATCTACCTCTGCATAAAACAGAAAATGCTTGCCATTCCATTATACTTCAAGAGACTGTTTCGTGACATGTTGAATCCCGAGAGACCTCGCCTCTTCGAATTGCGAATGATTGCAGTTAAGTTAATATATCTATTACAAGAAAAGGAATGGGTGATTCCTCTTGTACTAACCATTCAGTTCACTTTTATCATTGCTTACAAGATAATAACGTTTCAATTGCAATTATTTCCTTTTGCTTAACTGATGCTGTCTTATTACTGGCTTTGTTACATATTTTACCAACTCTGCCAAAGTAAATTATTTGAATTAGAATTTTTCAGGATCTTTTCAGAAGTTTCCTAGTTTTTGTGCGTTTCAGCATCTAGGGCAAATCTTCTTTGTGCAAGTTTTTGGAAAGCAAAGTTTAATCTGGAGTTTTATGTTTGACAAGTCAAGTACTCGAATTGATATGAAAGTGTGTTTACCCCATGTACGAAATCAGAGGAACTAATCAGTAACCATGAAGGATTGTATTACGTGGACATATTTGTTATGATATAAGCTTGCTGAAGGGAAGTATTAGAGTGGAAAAAAAATTATTTTCCTCAGATTGCATTTCAAATGCTTATTAGTTATTATGATTGCACTCCCTTGAAATCTCTTGTCCAACATGTGAGATCTAGGGCAGAGGAGGGCGAGAAGGGTGATGAGAACACCAAAGGGTCTAGGGTTTTTTATGAGTTCTTGCTCCTGTGTAGGAGGCTGTGGTGTATTTTGATGCGTGGCTGAAGATTATAAGAGATTAGGAAAACTGGAAAAAAGTCAAAAATATAATGAAGGGTCAGGATGCTCTATCTGAACTATGTACTTATAAGAGATTAGAAAAACAGGAAAAAAGAATTGAAGCTAGGGGATCAAAATTTTGAAGTGTGGGGCCTGTCTATAATCACTTTACGGCTTGTAACGAGTTTGCCTCATATACAGGCCGTATGCCCTTTATTTAGATCATATCACATATGCCTTGATTCGTTCAATTAGACTACTGCGTTATAGATATAACTAGAGTTAAGAAGTCTTAAATTATTCTTAAATGACCTTTCATATCCTGATAATTTTCTCTCTTTTATTCAGTGAATAACAGGATGTAGCTCAATTAAGAAAAATGAAATGCTGTGTGAAAGTTAGTAGATGGCTAGTTAAAAGTTCAAAATTATGAATATAACCATAAAGGACATGATCAAGTGCCTTGGATAAATACATGACCTTTGGCAAAACATCTTGTAGTCAATTTAACAATTTTTGTGAGCTGCTTTATTCGATGGGACATGTAGGAGACTAGTATTACTGCATAGAATTTACAAGATCCTGTTATGGTTCGGAAGGATGCATTGTTTTTAAATGTGCCATCTTGGCCCTTAATTGGGGCATTTAGATAATATATACATATGAATGCTAGAAACTTGTGGGCCAATGTCGTCATGCGGAAACTTTTGTTACTTGTCATGTTTTTCCTAACCATTTTGGTACTTTGACGCGCTGTGTATTATTGTTTTTTATTTTTCACAATTTGTTTCAGATATTAGATGCATGAACACATTTGCTAATGCAAAATTTGACTGTTTTTGTTTGCAGTTGTTTCTGGGAATCCTTTATTCTTTCAGCCCCTTCGATTTCCTCCGAATAGGTACTTCTATCTGATTGGTTAAGATTCAATTTGAGTTTGAGACAGCTAATTTTGATAGTTTTGGTTTAGCAAAATATGAAGACGCACTAGCATAAAATGGAGGAATTAGTGAACATCCCCCTTCATGGGCATCAAATTTGCTTGTCAAAGTTCCCCTTTTATTTTGCAAAATTTGGGAAGACTTTGATCCAACCACTTATCTGCTTCTTCTGTGAATGTTTTCCCAACCAACAATTTTATGTGCATTTCTTAATGTAGACCTTATTGATCATTGGCAGGTCGTTGGAATGTCATAGACGTGTTTGATAACTCCGCCGTTGCTCTCTCATTCATCTTTTATCTTGTTGGGCTCGTCGTCCAAAGAAGGCGCTTACGAAATGTCAGAGAATTGGCTGATATTGAAGCAGGGTTATGAATTTACCACGTTACGTTCAGATTTGTGTCGTCAATTCCGTTCGAGGGCATGATGACAAAATGAATGTGTGCAATGTTTTTTTCCGCGTGTAAATATTTACTTTATTTTCGGAAAAAGTGACATGGTGAAGTTGCAAGAAGAGGTTACTTTTTACTTTTTAGTACTAAAGTGGTGGCAGAGCCATGTAATATTTGTAAAGAATTATGTCACTAAAAATGCTATATTATGCGTCTACTATGATAAAGTTTTGTATGCAGATTCTACCATGGAGATGATTGGAGGGGAGCCCCCGCCATCCATCCTTGGAATTCAAGAGAAAGTACAAATCGATCAAGAACCTTAGTGGGGGTGCCGGGATTTTTTCGACGTTCAAGTCGATGAAAGTTTTTAGATGTAGATATTAAAGTGTGGGTGAGAGTATTTTGAACTCCGAAAGATGGTAATATCTATATACGAGTTGGATTGTAAACATAGTAATTTATTTTTCATACTCATTTTCAATTTCATTCACATAATAAAATATTTTATATGAAAATTTAATTTTTTTTCACTTTTTAATCACAGATTCCCTCAGTCCTAATTATATAGGATTGTTTCGTTTTTCACATGGATTAAAAAAAATTCTTTAATGTCATTGAAAAATTAATTTTTGTCAAGATCTTTTTTAATTTATCCCTATTTAATTTTCAGTATGTAAAATTAAATTATTGTTGGAAGTAATAAAAAATTTGAAGAAGGAGAAATGAGAGTTGTTTTATGTTTTCAAGAAGTGGGAAATATGTGTATTTGGATGATTTCAAGAAGTCGTCATATTAAATGAGGAAAATTTAATAAGGGTATATTGGTAAACGAACACAACAAAATATTCTAAGTTTGGAAACATGTCTATATATTTGAGGGAAGAGAAAAGGAAACTCAGCATGTGACCGCAAAGCCACGCGCCTCATCGTATCGTCCAGATTCATCCCCCTTCAAATCTACCGTTCCTCGTCAAACCCACGCCACATCTCTTCCCCCATATAAAAGTACTCAAATCCTCCAAACGCTTTTCTGCTCCTACTGTTCTGAAGTTCGAATTCAGAATCCATTTCTTCAATTTTTTTCCAGTGGGAGTTTCATCATTCTACGTTGCCGCCACAGTCACTTCCCCCCGCCAGGTTTGGTAACTGTTTACGCCGTCGTTCTCGTAGCTACGAATTCTGTTGATTTTTCATTCTTGAGTTATATAGGGTCTCATTTCTGTTGTGTTGAAAGCCTCGAACAACTGTTTTGTGTTGCGTATCGCTACTTGGTTCATTCTTCGTAATGGATTTAGGTCAATCGCCATCCAATCCTAATCTTTCGTTAGGGTTTTTATCTCATTCATCGTTGCCTACGCCCGCGAATAATCATCAAGGCCCAAAGATTGCCGATGATTCGATATCGTTCCAAATTGAGTCGAGGATTCGGGACCCGTCGTTTGAGGTTCCATCGATTGCCCTTCAGTTGATGGATCAGCAGACCGAGAATCATCCTCGCCATGCTGAACATTGTTCAAATGAAAATATAGTTAGTGGAGAGGATGAGGAAAAAGATGTGAAGGAGTTTCGGATATTGGGGCACTCGATGTGCTTGAAGAGGAAACGGGATTGTGAGTCAGTGTCTTCCTCTTCAAAGAGCAATAAGACTTCTACTAATGAGCTGGAGTCGCGTAGGAATGCGGTTAGGGCATGGGGGAATCAGAGCTTGAGAGTCTCAGATCCTAATATATATGAAATTATGGAGAAGGAGAAGCATAGGCAGTACAAAGGAATTGAATTAATTGCATCTGAGAATTTTGTGTGTAAAGCTGTAATGGATGCGTTGGGAAGCCATTTGACTAACAAGTACTCGGAGGGAATGCCAGGCGCCCGATATTATGGTGGGAATTTGTACATTGATGAAATTGAAACACTCTGTTGTGAGCGTGCTTTGACTGCTTTTGGGCTTGATTCTGAACATTGGGGTGTAAATGTGCAGCCGTACTCGTGCACATCTGCAAACTTTGCTGTATATACTGGGTTGTTATTGCCAGGCGATCGGATAATGGGGTTGGACACACCGTCTGGTGGGAACACGAGTCATGGCTGCTATTTGCCTAATGGGAGGAAAATTTCTGGGGCATCAATTTTCTTTGAGAGCTTGCCGTATAAGGTGAACCCACAGACAGGTTATATAGATTATGATAAGCTGGAAGAAAGGGTAATCGATTTTCGCCCAAAAATATTGATTTGTGGGGGGAGTTCATACCCTCGGGAGTGGGATTATTTAAGGTTTAGGCAGATAGCTGATAAATGTGGAGCGGTATTGCTGTGTGACATGGCTCAGATTAGTGGTCTTATTTCTGCCAAGGTGAATAGTTTCTTTTATTCAATTAGTTGTTACTAGTTTCTTTGTGCAAAATCTTTTGTCCTACTTTTTATTTTGTATTAGCTGAATTTGTGACTTTTGTTTAATAAACGCCCTCATACTTCATGCAGTCTTTGAATTTTAAGGTCGGCACCCAAGCTAATAATGCCCACAGCATAGTTGAAATCTGTATTGGTCATGGTTGAAACATAATTTTCTTCTGATAATTCAACTTGAAATTGCTTGCTTCTGTTATTTAGTGTAGTTCTGAATAATAGATTAAGTTTCGTATCATTAGTCTCGTATTACATTAATTTTTGCTCTTATCTGTAGTTAGAGTGAATTTTTTTTAGTGGCATTCTTACAGTCGAATTAACTTATAGGATGGGAATAGCTCCATTATGTAGAAACTTTACACCTTACTTCATTTTATTTCTTTTCTTATTTTTTTCTTTCCGTATATGGATTACATCATAAGCAAGTGAGTAATACTAATCCCGGTGTCATTCTTTCCTCAGATCAGTCAGCTGACTCTGAGACCTCTTTCTGTATTTCTCTAACATCAATGTTAATAATGCTTCATTTCTGGTGTTGTACTCTTTTTTTTTGACTTCACATCCAATTCAGATTATCATATTTACAAGTATCTTTCTATTTGTGTAGGGCTTTGAGAGAATATGTTATTTTGACATTGTGGGGGGAAATGCAATTATTATTCTGATATCAACGTCTGGGGTTTTATTTTGAATGTCACTTTAGTAAACTAGTTTTTTGGGCTAATTAAATATTTGGTTGTGCTATATGTACATCACAAATTATAGATATGTGTACCAACAAATGATGTGATAAGATACGATTGAGTCAAAATTTCACCACCCAACTAAAAAAATAAAACTTCCCACTTTCTTTTTGCCACCACACCGATCTGTGAAAGAATTTGTAAATGGTGATGTACAAATAGCATTATTCTTGAATATTTTTTTAATTTCAGATTAGCTGTTTAATAGTAATAGCAGATATAGATTCGCACTCAGTTTACTAACTTATGCATCCTTATCAATTATAATTCGAACTTGCGGATAATTTCATTCTTTAGTCAATGAGAATGTCAGTTCAATTGCATATATGTAGGAATATTATCACTCAGTATAGGAAATGTCTTGTATGTTGTGCATCTGGCTCAGTTTTCTCCATGTTTATATAATAGACATATGCAAAAGAAGACTATCTGCTCTTAGTAGTTTTCTCAAAATTGGTGATGTGAATATATTTGCAATATGCTATTCTTACTGTTTCTCCATTCCTGCCTTGTGGTATTTTAATTTTGGAGTTGTATTTGGTTCTATTTTTCTTTTTGATAAATTGAACCTTTTGATCCTTAAATCATGAACTTAATTGTGTATCTGTAGGAGTGTGCAAATCCTTTTGAATACTGTGATGTTGTAACATCTACAACCCATAAAAGTCTTCGAGGTCCAAGGGGAGGAATTATTTTCTACAGGAAGGGCCCAAAGCCGAGGAAAAGAGGCATGCTTTTGTATCAAGGTGATGACAGTGATAGATATGATTTTGAGGAAAAGATAAACTTTGCTGTTTTCCCAGCATTGCAAGGGGGACCGCACAACAACCACATTGCGGCCCTTGCAGTAGCTTTGAAACAAGTGGCTACTCTCGAGTACAAGACTTACATGCAACAAGTGAAGAAAAATGCTCAGGCCTTAGCATCTGCTTTATTAAGAAGAAAATGTAGGCTGGTCACTGGAGGCACCGACAATCATATGTTGCTTTGGGATCTAAGAAATCTTGGATTGACAGGTATATTGTTTGTTCCATAAGATTTTACGGCCATTTCTTCATTTTGATGCTTTTGACAACTAAAATGCGTTCAAATGCATATACTTTGTTTGACATTGTAGTTTGATATCCTCTTTTGTTTTGAATTTTTTATTTTTTTCTGATTTATTACATAGAATTATAGTTTTTTGAACCTGTTTGTTTTCAAAATTTTCATGTGGTCTTGACAAAATGTGTTTTGGATCATTTTGTTGATATCATCTCTGTATATTTTGGTAATTCTTTTTCTATGTTGACCATGCGGCGGCAGGAAGGTGATTTATACCTTGAATATGATGGCTAATGAATTTCTGCCATTACAGAGACAATTGGAGGTTTTTTAGATCCTAAGAAGAAAAAATGTTATCTATGTCCTATGGTCAATAGCAACTTTTAGAGCTTGAGACTTGTTTGCCGTACTATTTGGAACAGCTTGGGTCCTGCGCTATCAAAATGAAATTTCTATTCAATATAAAATGAACTTACTCGATATATCTAGGCTTTCTATGCCCTTTGGTCAATAACAACTTTAGAGCTTGAAACTTGAACTTGCTCGATATGTTACTAAATATTAAGTTATTCTGGAGAGTCGAATAAGATTTATAATTTGCCTCGATCAAGAATATTGTATAAACCTGATTCTGCCCCTGTTTGGTCCCCATTATTGTAGATTTTTAGGGGGTTGAAAATTTTTAGAATAGTGATTGATGGGAGATGTGTGGTTGAAAAGTTTTATATTTGTGTGTATTATTATTTTATTTGATGAATGTATGGTTGAGATGAAGAGAGAGAAAAATTTAATGTAATGTAATGAGATATAATGGGGGGCAAACAAGGGCTCTGTGTCTTGCAGAAATTCCTTTTTCTCGATTTATGTGGCTTGCTTCTTTGTGAACTCTTGCATCTATTATAATAATCACAGAAATGCCCATCCTTCGTATGCGTTGAACTTTTGATAGACTCTGGATTGTTTACAAGTCGTTTCTGTTCCTGATTTTTTAACTGTAGAATATGATCTTATTGGTTCTAGTTATTGTGATTTATAGGTAAAAATTTCGAGAAGGTCTGTGAGCTGTGTCACATGACTCTCAACAAAGTTACAATCTTTGATGATAGTGGCAATATTTCCCCTGGAGGTGTAAGGATTGGTGAGTAAACTTCACTTTACTTTCATGAGCTTTTTATGATAAAAGTATTTGCACAGTAGTGATAGCTTTTCATATTTATGGTGCAGGCACTCCTGCAATGACATCAAGAGGCTGTCTGGAGGATGATTTTGAGATGATAGCTGATTTTCTCGTTAGAGCTGCCCAAATTGCTAGTTCTGTACAGAGAGAACATTCTAAACTGCCTAAAGCTTTTCTGAAGGGACTTGAGAATAACAAAGAAATTGTCGAGCTCCAAACACAAGTTGAATGTTTTGCATCCCAGTTTGCGATGCCCGGATTTGACATGTAACTGGTGTGGAGGTGTTATCAAAGGATTATGTCTCTGCCCAAAGACTGATCTCTGCTCTAACATCAGAACTGTACAGTGATGTCCAATTCTTGTATGAGATAGCAATCCGGCTTTTTCATGATGTTCTGGCTGTTGTTTTCGCTTAACCTTGACTGGATCTGTCCAGTGGCGTGCCTATTCTGCTTGTTGCGTGTTCATCTGCAGCAATTTTTGACGAACTTTGGTAGTTAATTATATTTGTATTTTTTGTGCAGGGAGACTAAAGACCCTATAATCTCTGCCATTGTTTGGGAGTCCGTATTTTTATTGGTTAGGTCGTACTTTCCTAGTCTAGGATATGTGTACTGTGTACATGAAGCATGTATTCCTATTTCTTTTGCTTTGTTGTTGAAATTCAGATTTTTAAGGATGTTTTATTTTTTTCCTTGTATTTGTTGGAATTTTGAGAAAATAATGCCTACTACAGGTTTAAAGTTGTCATATTTAAATAGTTTTTGCTAGACTTGAAAATAATAAACCTTGTAGCTGTAATTGTATGGGAGAGAGATTCCTTCACGTGATCCTAGCACTGACAACGTTTGTTGCTCTCATACATGTTGAACCAAGAACACTTGTGAAACTATAAAGTGCAATTATTGGATGCAGTACATTTTAAGAGTCATGCTATATTATCAAATTGATTTTACTATAAATGTGTCGATTAACACTTCAACATTTCATTTGTAGTTGGCCAAAAGCATTTTCCAACCATCTAGTCACAATTTGCCAACTCATTCTGACAATCTGATTCTGATAAAATCATCTGAAAAAGTAGCAAAAATCACATTTTAATTATTATTTTGGACTGATCATACGCATTAATATGCACGTCAATTCATCGACAAGTCACAAGCATTTGCCATAAGAAATCGATGAGACAAAAATCGATAATGACTAAGCTATAATAATAATATCTTGTCGACTATACACCTCACGATGATTATTTTAGTAGATTCAACGACTAAATTCAGTAAGAATTTTTGTGATTTGGTATGTCTCAGACAACCTCAATCATTTCTCTCATCCCTCATGATTTCGTCCAAGCAAGAAATGTTTCATTAGTGGTTTCAGAGGTTGCTTCACCTACATATGCCATGAAAGCTCCTCTACCAAATTCTACTCTGACCTTTCCTTGGGCAAAAAATTCTTTAGAGATTTTTGCTAGTTGAATTTCTAATGAGATTTTCAGCAAGCATGTAAATGGCGGAACAAATACCCGGGGCTTGTTTAAGCACGGGTCAAAACTCCAACCGCGCTTCATAGCTACTACACTTATAATTCTGCTTTTGATTCCTCGTCTTCTGATGAAATGTTCTGAGTTTGGAGAGGGGGAGGTGCTGCATGTTCTTGGGGTTCAACATTTTCACCTAAAATTTTAGCAGTGAATTGTCTAGCTTCTAAATCAAGATCGGGCCATTCTGCGACTATTCTTTTAGCTCCCTAAACATAGAAATGTGAACGAAAGATAAGCCATGATGACAGTACCAAAAAATAATAAAAAAAGGATAGAATTTCATGAAATTAATTATCACCTGAAGCTTGGGTTCCTTTGTCATGGGATTGTTGCAGAGATCTATAGTCTTTGCCTTGGATTTTGTTGAGTTACCACACCAAGACTCACACCACAACCATTCTTGGGGAAGCGAGAAGATGGGTACCATGTGTTGAGCATAGTTTGGAAGATCCTGAGACATCCGGGCATTACATTAAGGAAGAAAACAGAGAAAGCAGAAGAGGTAGAGCTAACGTGATTGTGAAACATTTCATTTACAGGATATTTTGGCAGAGGTACCGATGGATCAAGTGCAATGGAGAAAAATGCTTTACGTAATAAATTCCAACGTTATTAGGTTTAAGGCTTCCGATTTATACACTAAAAAGCATATCCGGCAAAAGTGCCCCTAACCGGAATTACAGAATGATATTATCTAGTAGACATCTGGAAACTGGAAACTTCTTGTTCTCGAACACTTCATAACTAAGAAGCCTATACATAGCGAGGAACAAGAGGCAGAAATGAATTTCAGATGTCCGCAAAATAAGCTAAGGGTCCGTTTGATTGCAAGGGTGGAAAATGAGTAGAAAGAAAATGTTTTATAGGGAAAAGATTTTCCTAGAAAATGTTTTCCTGAGAATTGTAATTAATTGTGTTTGATTGGTATAATTTTCTACCTGGAAAATGTTGAAAGTTTGGTATCCGTTTGACTTCTTTTTTTATAAAAATTGTCCATTAAAGTAATAATTTTTCTACCAATACGTTTAGAATTTGTTCTAATTACCAAAAAGTAAAAAAAAAAAAAATTTAAACAATTAGAAAAAATTACCATATACGTTTGACTTTATTTTACATAGAAATTGTCAACAAAAATGAAAATTTTTTTTACAATAGTTGATAGAATTGGCTGCCTTTGCTAAAAAAAAAGGTGGAAAATGTTTTCCCAACTAATAGGGGGGAAAACAAAATCAAGCTTTTGTGCATCAAATGATTGTACCTAGAAAAAGGTGGAAAACGTTTTCCATGGAAAAATTTACCTATCAAACAGCTTTTTAAGGGTGGTAAAGGAAAATGTTTTCCTTTTCCATGGAAAACTAAAACTATCAAACGGAGCCTAAGAATTAAATAATTCACTTACCTGATCAAGATTTGAAAGACTGTTTGGATCTTTGCTCAAGGTTTCATAGAAAACTCTTAATTGATCCCCTGCTGCTGTTTCCCGGAATTTGGCCAGATCAACAACATATAAAGCACTACAGAAGCACACTTCGTTATCAGGCTGACTGTTTTCTTCAATGAGAAATACCAACATTAGCAAAATATGCTCAATAAAAAGCTGCAGTTACCTAATATGATATGGTCTTCCTCGTAAATGGTCATTCCAGAAACCCTGTTCCAGAACGTTGAAATTTTTGTCAAATTTACATAAATGGAGATAATGGTTAAATTAGTCAACTTAAGGTGTATCTACTTGTTTCCAAAATCTGTAGCCGTCCATTTCTTTGTTGTTGTCGCAGAATGGAGTATAAGCAAGGGGCCGGCCTGTTAAATCCATGTCATAGAGTTCTCCCATATCTGCTCTCACAATCTGGTCTGCATCAACAAATATAACCTGCAGGTGTTGAAATTATAACATTAGACATCCATAGTATACAACATTTAAGACAAAATGTGGATCAAGCAGCATAATGTTTCTATACTTGAACAAAGTAAAATACCTTTTCCAAGGCAAGAGGAAAAATGACATCAAGAAACAGGATTTTATAGGCCCAAATGATTCGCTGCTTCTCTTTTTGTTTATGTAACCAAGTTGGCCACTTATAGGTAATTAATTCAAACTCAAAACCATATTCGCGAGCCATATGCGGGATTACATCCTGGAGAAAGTAACACTGACAATAAAAACAGATGACCCAAAAAAGGCAAAAATATTCAGCTTATAAAATGGAACAGACCTTGAACTGAGGAGAGAGATAGTTCTTTATAAACCAAAACTTGACAGGCCGGTGCGTGTTCTTCAGAACACTTAAAATCATAATTTTTAGAAAACGCTCATACCTGCCGACCACAATTCATGAAGAGGTTAAAAAAGAAATTAGAAGTGCTCAAAAGTAACAGAAACAGAAAACAAGTCAAAGTTTGAAAGTTCAAAGTATAATTTACACTTTGGAAAAGAAAAACGAGAAATGGAAAAAGGGGACGATTATGTCTTTATTCACGACAACACAAAAAGAATGATTCAGAGCTTCTGAATCAGCATTTTTATCTTGCTAGTTGTCTACTGAACTCAGGAAATAAAGGACTAAAGGGAGGATAATGATCAGTTAAAACCCTTCTTGACAAATCAAATCAAGTAATTTTAATTTCTCAAAGATTCAAGACCCATTAACTCAGTCATGTCTTGACATTATTATAGATCCATGCCACAGAATGAAAAAACTTAAAAGATATTAATTCTTGGAAAAAGTTTTGTGAAGTTTAGAACAAATGGTGATTTGGTGGAGGAGGAAACTAGGAGAGGATTAGTACAGATAAGAATCTTACAAGTGTCCAGATGCAACAGAAAATATGTTAATAGTTTTCCCATGACGACCAACACTCCCAGTCTCCTAGAGAACATGACAGGAAGATGGTTAATTTCAAGCATAACTTTCTTTGAATTTCTACTAAATAATGAAACGTGAGTGTGCCAAGTAAATGTGAGTCCATCTCTCGAGTGCATCTGTGCATGCATAATGAAGTATTGATGGAAAAAGAGTGATCACCATGGAAGTGCTTTCACCCTTCTTCGACTGGTCCTTCCCTCCAATAAATCCAGAAGCCCACTTCAGAAAATTGGAATTCCAGCCATTTTGAATCCCCTGGACATTTATTAGATAAAATACTCGTGCAAATAATGTAAAGTCAACGAGATAATCTCTTTCATATGGACTTTATGTACTGTGAAAAAAAATTACAACATTAAAAATTGAGCTTCTTTACCTTGTTAGTAGAATGATTATCATCGTCAGAAGGAACCAAGAGTTTCTCGTGTTCCTTGCCCTTCTTTTTCACCACTTCCATATGAACTAATTTACCCCGCAAATCATTAATGGTAATACGCTTCGATAAAGTTGTTTCCTGACTTCCATCAGCATTTTCTTTCATAACATAGAGCTCGGAACTTCTACCAGGAGCAAGCTGCAAGTACCAAACTCCAGGAAAAACCTTCATTTGCCAGTACCCTAGATTCGCCATGACAAGCGTGTCAACCATGTGCGGAGAACTTTTTGTTCCAAGGATCAATTGCAGGCCCCGCGGAGGTTCATGATCTTTCTCCGAGCAATGACCTGGTTATATTGCTCTCTGATTAGTTTATTGTTATTTTATTATTATTTTTTTTAAATGATCAGTTAATAGACAGTTGACGATTAATATCAACCATAATAATACCTGTAAGAACAAGAGCTTCCAGTTCAAACACTGCTTGCAATGTCCTGGTGTCGGCTAGGTTTTCAAGCAGTATGTTGTCCAGGTCATGGCTGCACGTTTAGCTCCAAAATAAGAGAGGAATGGACTCTCATATGAGGAATCGTGCATGTGATCAATATAAAATTCTTACACAAGGCTGTATTGAATAAACATGAAATTCCACAAGAAACTTACACAGCAACAACAGGCTCAACAAGCCATGGCTCAGGAACATCAAGATTCATGGTAAGTGTCTTAGATAGTGGCATATTAGCAAAAAATGCTTTGGGACCATGCACTGTATGATCTGTACTGCTGAAGTCATCCTGAAAAATGAAAGAATAAGTACAAGAAGCCACGGATTCTAGAAAGGATTTTAAGCTCCAAAGAACTGCGGATACCATTGATGGGACTACATATCTGTAGTAATTCTTCAGTGGAAGATCAACCAGCGAACTCTGCCAGGAATACCAACATTAAATTTCAAATACAAGTCATAGGTTATAGCATTAAGATGATTAACTTGCCACATCTTTATATGAGCTTATTTAAATAAAAAGTGCAGTAAATAGCCTGAAAATGATTGAGGGTGTGCAAAATGTACAGGGTATATGAAATAGCAAAACACATAAGTATGCACTCCCAGCAAAGAAAATACTTACCATTGGATTGAGTACAAGTCTCATGCTTGGCTGAATATACTTTGACAGAATCCGAAGAAGAGAAGATAACTTTTGACCAGAAGCACTCAAAGGATCAATAACAGCATCAATATGAATGCTCGAATGATCATTTTGCAAAACAACAGCACTGTATTTAGCATATAAGTAGAAGAAATTGTCACCATGTTGAAAACCTCTAAAAGAAGGAATGAAGTCACTAACAATAAACTGCAATCATTAAAAAGATAAACACTAATTGACCCCACTTGCAGAAGAAAATAAAGAAGGTTAAGCACAAGGAACACAGAAATGCAGCAGAGAAATTAGAAATTTAACCGCATTAGAAATTTAACCGCTTATATAAGTTTCACCTTCAGGTAAAATCGTTGTCTTCTACAGGTAATCAGATATCATTACACCAAAAAGTATTTCAACATAAGAGTTAAGACAACTGTTTAATACAACACATAATTTTCTATAGTTTAATTATCTGAGAACAAGAAGATAAATATTTAGAATGTTTATTTTGTATTTCTGGGGGGAAAAATGAAACTTATTTAACTAAGAAAGGATGGGTAAAGAAATAAGCAACTTAAAGAAACATTAACTAGAGTAAGACGTAGAAGTTCTAGAACGAGAATATAAACGCTATGAAAATCTCTACATGGTGATAATCTTTGCAAAAATAAACAATAAATTCATTGGTGTATGAATTTTTATCATAAAACATTTGCCATCACTCAACATAATGCCTTAAATCTCTCTTCTCAAATGAGATGGGTGAAAGTAACTGTAAAAGAACAAATGAAGCTAGAATGTAGGAAGTGGATCGTGCAAATGCAATGGCAGAACTTAATGAACTGTTGCCTGTATGAAGCGTGCACATGGACATGAAGGCACAAAAAAGTAGAAGACAAACTACATGGAATTTCTAAGAGAGAATAACAGGGGATATGGGGTAAAACAACTTGTCTATTTCAATGAAAATAGCAACACGTCTTTGTCATCACAAAAGTAAAGAGTTGCCGTATTTGTGGTTGTGTGTGCGCGTCCATGTGTAGAAATAGCAATACAATTTTTAACAATTGAATGTTCATATCAAACTATAATCTTGTTCTGAAATTCACATAAACCCTGCATTTAACTCCTAGCCATTACGTAAGATACAATTTTTCTTCACTAACAATGCCCTATCACCCATTTATCCCAACAAAATAGTGAAACCATTTTTAAATAGCAAGAATATCTGTACCTATATTCTGAGCTCAACATTTCAAACCGAGCACTTTCAGAGCTTCGATCTCGTAGACTCATTGAAGATGAGATGGCCATCACAATGTCACTGATGAATTTGCTGCACAAAAGAAAAAAAACATATATATCACACAAGTGTTGATAACATCAAGCAATCTGTCAGAGAAAAACAAGCTACAGAACAAAGAACAAATCCAATCATTGTGACATTCAACTATGAATTACCCTCTAAATATCACAAAATCGAACCAATTAATGAAGAAAAATGTGGATATGATGATAATTATAGCCAAATAGACAAACTATCCATCAATTTCTTCTATAAATCCAACTTATTTTCGTTTACATAATGACATGAGTAGACTAAACGACAAAAGTGGAAGGACATGACAAGATCAGATGGAAGAGAGTGATTGATAATGATACACACAAGTACAATGCCTATAAATCAAAGAAGCAACACAGTAAAGCAACTTCACTATAGGAATAACAATTGACAGCAATAAAATAAAGAAGCCTCAACTAGCATGTCATTGGCTATTAGAACTTCTACAGCCTCTTTCTACAGGAGTCCCTGGCCCCTCCAACTCTTTTCTTCTTACTCATTTCTTGTTCATTTAGAAAATGTTAATAACAGAATAGGCAATTTTTTCTCATTTACTATTCCATTTGATATTTACTTTTGAAGTTTCTCATTTATCGTGTCTATCCTACAAACATTATTATAGTTTCTTCTTTGTTTCTCAGTGACACACTCATCCACAAGGCGGAGAGCAGGGAACAATAAAGGACTACTTAGGAAAAGGAGCGAATGAATGAAGTAAAGACAGCCCAATATAAGATAATATTTTAGAATACAGTCTATATAAAAATAAAAAATAAAACCGATCAGCTTCAAAATTACACGAATAAAGCGACTTTGGTCATGTGAAAGAACAAATTCCATTATGCACATAAGAGAGCTTTTTGATACAATTGTGAAGAGAAAGCAAGGAAAAACTCCACCAGCATCCACAAACCTTGTCAACATGTCAGGGTCTATGTCCTCCCACTTCACGTCTTCAATAATTTCGACAATATGCTTTATTCGTTGCTTCAACTCCAGGGATTCCAGAAGATGCAAATCATGGCTCAACAATGTATTACCATCAAGGAGTTGGATCACCTATAAACACAAAATGAAATCCATACAAGAAATTGTAAGAAAGTATAAACCAAATTCAAAATGAAATTGCCAATCAGAATATTATACACAATATAAAATAAGAGAAAGACAATATGGACATCGAGATCCACTGATAGTTTTATTGAGTATTAAATACAAATTCCAATCAACAAGGGTCAACAAAAAACTTACTCTCCCATTGGTAATAACTGCATTTACACCATATTCAAGTCCAAGTTGCCCGTATAAAAACTGGGTCACCTGAAAAATTATTGAACTAATGATTAGACACTTCATGGTTCAGCATTCTAACCATCTTTTATAAATTTTGGTCTATGTTAAATGGGATCAGGTGAGGGTATCAGACACGATGCATGTCTAAGCATTGCCGGCTTGGTGTAAATCTTTACTTTCACGATCTGCAGGCTTGGCCAAAGAGTGTCCAAAAGTTAGATACCGGTGTGTGGACTCATTTGACTTACTGGAATACATGTAAGAAATGACATTATGGTTGAACCAAAATCCTTGTATTTTGATATGATTGTATACATTTGGAAGCTGCAAAACCAATTTTTCTTGGTTTATTTCGTAAGTAGTTTAATGTGTGGGGAGAAAATATCAAAGTTGTGCAACTGGGTCTTGTTAGTCAGCTAGGGTTTACAAATAGGAAATATTCGTGGACAGATTGATAAATTCACTGATTTGTTGGCGTCTAGTTTAGTAAATAGCCAAAGCTATGTTTAGCAATTACTTACCTATTAGATGGGCGTTGCCTCTGATCTATGTGATTTCGCCCAATTTTATTCATTTGACTTATGAGTTGAGGGAAGGATGCATGTTAATTATTTGGTCCATGAAGCACTGAATTAAAGCCGAATGATAGAAGAGCAGGGTCATGGAATAATTTATGTGGACAGGCTGGATTTGTCATATACATAAAGGTATTCTGCTCTGTCATTCTACGGGGTGAGAGTTTAGTAAAGTGATAACTTCATAGCCAGTTTCCATAACAGAAATTAACTAAAAAACTTATGAATATTTTTATCTTTTATAGAATCGTCAGCTGCAAGCCTGCAAAAAGTTAACATGCACTTCAAGGATATAAGCACACAAAGTAAATCACATCTACAGGGTATCAAGTGACCATTTAACAGAGTTTTGGATAGTTTCCCTCCATTTGGACCAACTTGCACCAGAACTGATAGTTTGCAATAAGCAAACTGAACGCCGAAAAAAGAATGGGGCCACAAAAGCTCTAGGATGTAAAGTTTGAGGACTGCAGATGCAAGTTTCTTCATTGCTTATATGATCTCGAATGAAAATTCAAAAATTCAATAGCGTTATGTAACACACCTTATTCAATTGTATTCTCAATTTGTTGGCAGAAAACCCAGAGAGAGCAGATTCGTAGCCCTTTGACGGCAAACCATTTGCATCAGCCAACTCGAAGACCTTATCAATGAGTGCTTGGGTGCTTGCAGTAACCCCAGAAGCCAGCATGTACTCTCGTTCATAAAATGAGCAGAATTGATCCAGAAACTGTAATACTTCTTTCTTATGACTGCAAATACGATTACATTGGAAAGGGAGAAAAAAATATGATTAAATGATTGAGAGGCTCTTCACTAACACAAAGCAGAAGCTTGTCGAAAAATAAGTGCTGAAAAAGAAACTAACAAACCTGTATGACGATGCAGTGATTTCAAAGACTTTCACAAAATAGAGACTTGGCAGATTTGTTTCCTCATCAGCATTAAATAACACGCCGATACGAGCATTTTTAGAACCATGAATCTGCAAAGTAGCACATAAAAATGGAAACACGATATTCATAAAAAGAAAAGAAAACTTTCAGCTAAGGTGGCAATGAATCCACCCGGTTGTACTGCTTGTCTTCAGCTCAAAAAAATCATGAAAACGTTTCTTTAGTTTCAGCACATAGATAAAACAAAAATAAATAAATAAATAAAGGATAACTTCGCAGCTTTTCCCGAACAGTGTCACACAAGAATATCCTAAGATGCCATGTTGCTTTCTATAAACTCATAAACATGGAATACGTCTTGTCCTCAGCTTTTTTTCGTCGTATTCTCACCCTTAACCTTGTGTTAATTAGCACATCTTGTGTCTAATTATGGTTATTGTCCAAAAATTCTGTTGGTATACTTAAAATGAGGGACAAATATTTAGTTGCAATTTTATTTTATTTTTGTTTATTTAAAAATACAAGTAAATAAATCTTTTTAATCTATCTTAACGGAATTTTCAGACAGAAACCATCATGAAGAAGAAGATTTGCTAAATTAATAGAAGGTTGAAGATAGGAATGCGATAAAAAATAATTAGAGAAATGAGTGTGACAATGAAAAAGAAGGGACCTTTTATGCAATTAAAACATGGTGCATTTATAATAAAGTATGGTGATAATATACTTAGCCTTAACTAAATACTCTTTGAATCTTAAAATTTTTCATATCAATGATTGGATCGTTAGCAGCACCTATGTTTGCAAATAACATACAAACTTAAACTCAATTTTCCCAAGCTTGTTACAAACACAAGCCAAACAGAAACACTAGTAAATAAATGATCACATGAACAGACTTAGGTTTGGATCGATTCCTTTGCCAGACTTAAGTCTCATCCAATATGGAGTTATGTGGCCCAAAATTTTAATTTAGCTATATACCATGTATTACTTTCAAACTTTTACTTCTTTACCATTATGTGAACAAACTTTAATCAGAAGTGGGGATAGCTATCTTTTCTCAATGTCAAAAGTATGCCGCACAAAGAGGGTGCAACTAATAGCTTTTACATTATGGAAATTCGAAAATTAAATTTCTTAAACCATAAAAGATAGTGTAAAGAACAAGCGAAGCATTTAGATAACAAGACATAATCTTGTACATCCATCACTATAAAATATTTACTCTTTCAATGTGTTATAAAGAACTAATCAGAAAACCAATTAGGAAATTCACAACTCATGGCATCTAAAATTACCAGATAGTGTATTCCTTCACGAAGCAACTTCATCCCCTTCTTTGATGTGATCCCAATTGCAAGAAGATGAGTCACAGGCTTCAAATCATCCATGGCTGGAACCAAAGTAAAGAAACCATACACTAAAATTCAACTATTCAACCAAATGGAAAGTTCAACATTGATCTATTAGATAAAAAAGAGCTTACTTTCAGGTGAATGTAAGTAGCTGACGTCATATATTACAGATTCTTTTTCAAGAATTGATGCAGATAAAGAAACAAATTTGGGTTTAACCTTCCCATCTGCTATAATCTACATGATTACAACGAAATAGAAGATTTAGTAAGAGGGAGACATCCTGAAAGAACTCAAATTGATATATGGTAAGAAAAAACAGATAAGTGCATCAGAGGAAATTTTGACATTATTGTACCATTGGATTATAACGTTGGATGCCACTTTCCGATAGAAATTTGTCCAGAATATCAGTATGAGAATTTATGTGCCCAAAGTAAACTTGCTCCTGTATTCTGGGAAGTTCATCATTCATCGCATTCATAAGGGCCTCCTGGTAATAACAGATCCAAATTCATTTCATTTCATTTCACATAACCTCCATCTATTCAGACTGAAATTTTTGGAAGAGCGATACCACTGTGGTCTTGTGTATATACGATCCAATTGACATAGTAACAATCACACAGTAGAATGGATGACACACAATTTAAAATGTCACAAGTAATCTAGTCTTCTGTTTGACAATATAAACATATTATCTTCCAAAACTTCTCAAGCAGTCTAACGTCCAGGAAGAAGGGGTAATGATAACATTGTAAATATACCTTGTCAGTATCAAGTTTTAATTAAGAAATTGTGGTGACATAATGACTGTTAAAATAACTATATCTGGAGCATATTAGGGAAAGAAGTGAACCAAAAACTAACAGAATTAAGCATAATTTGAACAAAATCTCAAATGATTTATAAAATAATGAGTTTGATGCAGCAATAATTTGTGAAATACCTCATTAGATTCATGGACAAGCCCATTCATCAAGAGACAACACTGAAGCTTGGACAAGCCCAGCTTAAAAACGAACATGGAGCTTTCCCGAGACAGTTCGTTCAAAGTTTGATCCTTCTCCAGCTTCAACAAAGTATCTTGAGGTGGAGATTTTGCCTTTGGACTAAAGAGAGAAACTATAAATGAACTTTCATAATACTAACAAAATTACAAAGAGAGCTCAAGTAACAATTACATATATCTTAGATGGGGAAAAAAAAACTCATTAAATGTGTGGATCTCACACAGATGAGGAGAAAAAAATCAACGAGAAATTTATATGCCTAGTAGGGGTAAAATTTTAACATAGACTTACAGTATCGTTTCCACAAAAGCCCCTTCCACATGATATCTTTCAGGAATATCTTCTGCAGATGAATCGAGTCTCAATTTGTTTACCTACATCAGTGAAGATACATTTGTTAATTTATAGTTAATTTTGAGATAGTTTCTCAGTTGGCTAGCCCACAGGTTTCACACATGAACCAGCAAGAATGCAGAGATCAGACACATACATTGCTTAAAAACTGAAAAGCCATCAGAGTCCCATGGTGTTCCTTAATGTAAATGAAAAGACATATAATCTGCAAAAAAAAAAAAAAATCAATAAATGGGCAGAATACGAAGAAGTCCAAAAGGAAAGCAATTAATTAATGAAATATTTAAAAACATTAGGAATCCAGAACATTTAAGCATTTATCTGTTTCCTTGGACACCAAATGTTAATGGTACACCTTCACAGGCTTTGCCTTCTTCAGCATTACCAAAGCCTCAAACTTTAGAAAAGTAGCATGTATACTAAAGATTGAGGAACCATAAAAAAATTCCTTCAAAATCCCGTACAGCCTTCTCCAAAGCTATAATTAATGCACTATAAATGGGTTTTTAGTTCTTAAGTAAGCATGAACTGTTAAAATGTAAGAAAAACCAGACCTTGAAAAACATCGTGAAGACATATACACTTGATAAGTAAATGAAGTACTGATGAAACGGAATCACTTACCAAACTGGAAATGTCTTCCCCACTATCATCCGCTAATTGAGCAAGTAGAAGTTCGCCATCATTTGCTTCGATCTTCTCAATTAATTTTGCTGAGTACATTATCACACCAAACCTCAAAGGAAGATTGTTCTCAAACAAGGAAATGATCGTATCAATGGTCTGCAATACTCAATAGGTTACAGAGACAACTCAGACACCAATAGAAAGCATACACAGAAACTCAGATCATCCACAGATAACAGATGAGAACTTGCCTCCATGCCACAAAGAGATGCAGGATCCAGAACGTAAACAGCATGGAAGATGTTTTTACGAATGTAACGCAATTGTCCAGGGAAGACTGGCATCAAAAGCTATGGACAGAAGACAGAAAAGGTATATTAAATGGCATGTTTTATGATAAAAGAAGCCATCTAGGCCAAGAAAACAGGTATAAACACACACACAGAGAAACTATACCTCATTTATGTTGCTTCTCCAACGTTTGTACATGGCATCCTCTTCCAAATTGTTGATATAGTAAACATGAGGAGAACGAAAATCAACACGAAACGTAAAGGACTCAGATGGAGGTACAACCGAAAGGAGTTTCCTCACAGTGTTCAAGGGGATCTGAGATATTATCACCATTCATTGTTAGCCTTAAGACTGATTCAGAAAATATGCCATCAAATCAAACAACAGTTATTGACAAGAATACAAACTCAAAACAATGTCAGAGACATAATAAGAGATGGACAAATTTTATGTCACAGATAAAAAACCAAAATATATGGATGCAACAATTAACACTAAAAGACTACCATCACCGAATATTTGTTCGTCTCATAAAGATGTCACAACTCAAAAATGGAAACACTTCAGCATTTAGATTTCAGAGTTGCCCTTAAACTGTTAGTTATTGAAATAGAGTAAAAGCTAAGGCAACATATTCAAACTTTTCTTAGAATCAGTTTTAATGGTGGAGTGTAGGTCTGAAACATGAAGTTTCGGTGATGAGCTGTCAAGCAAAAAATTGGTTTTTCTTAACTTTGCGCAGAGAGGGGCATTACAGATAAATGAACTAGATGGAGTACTACACGCACACAAACAATAGAAGCAGACTAGTACATTTTCCAAAATCCAATACAAAATTTATAATCAGGATACTTGACAAAGTTGACAACATTTTAGAACAGTTCATGGATAGTTTGAAGTTACATAGGGAAGTCTGTGTTATTGCTTATAGCTTATCAACTTCTTATTTGTTTGGAGAGGTCTCTATATCAAAATCAATGAGATCAGGGTACTGTTCTAGGATTTATCTCACAAACATTTCTAGATAGTAGATACTAAACCTGAATTACATTGAGTTCAAATTCTTTGACAGTTGCCTAAGAAAGTGATTTCCTAAAGGTGATTCTGAATTGATATAGTGAACTTGAATCACACTACTGCTAGCCGTGAAGCTTACGTCCAATGATATAACATGATATTTTACATCCTCTTCTAACTTCATTTTATGAGACTAAACATGTAGATAATGATATAGACTCTAACCAACTCGGAGTAGACTAACGAATGCAACTCTTAGTATATAGATATAACATAGCAGACATTCTTCTCAAGTTATATTAGCAGTATAAAGAACCTGAGATCTTGCACTACTACCTTCAACTTTAATTTGATTTCATTTATGTGACAGTTTTGGCATTTCATACCTTCAATTTTGAATATTGATCAGCCAGTGATAACTCCCGATGGACCATGTCAACCAGCCTATGAAGTTCAAAATATGATTAACCCAAGTCAGCAATTAGTTTCCTTGCGTCAAAGCAAGTGCAAAAATCCAACTCAATTTTGAACAAAATTAAAACAACCAAGGTGGCAAGTGAAACAATAGCAATGGAAGGGAATTCAAAATCATGATTAGCTAAAGAGCTGAAGTTATCCTTTCCTCTCAATCTCATAATCAGCTACTCTAACATGTATGGTAAATTCACAAGATATCATCCTCCTCTTGCTAGAAACAATTTTGATCTTGGATTTTTGGAGACCTTATCACTGGTGCAGATTGGGAGGAACTTCAGCACTGGGATACAAAATTAGTAAATAGAGAAAAGTACAGAAAGGAGATTAAAGAACTTCGTTGCTAATTCTAGCCCATATTAACCAATAAAGAGTTTAAATCCATTCCTTGATGACTGATATACTTGGAGATTCAGATTAATCTCTAATATGGGAATAAGAGCCAATTTAGAAATTATGCACATGGTGGCACCTAGGTAAGATATACACACCAAGCCCACCACCATTACGGACATATTTCTTGGGGCTCTTGGTTCTGTGAATCCTGTCCAATGCTCAATTGCATTTCTGGTTTCTCCTCCTAAAACACATCATTCTCACCCAATTATATTCTTATTTTTCTCCTTCGGTCCCTCCCTCTCAAAAATTAGAAAATAAATAAATAAATAAGTTAACAGAAAAAAAAGAAGCAGAAACACAAAAGGAATAAAAGTATTACAGATAAAGGTCAATATCTTCAATATTGATCAAGGCACCATTCAGAGCCATTAATGACTTGCCAGGGGGGATCATTCGCTGGTTTGCAATAATTTCGTCTTTTATGGCATCATTCAGCTGCAAAAAAGTAAAATGCACATCAAAGATATAATCGTACAAAGTAAATCATATTTAATGAGTACCGTGTATCAGCTTTCAGATCTTACAAAATATAAGCTCTCAAATCACAGTTCACATTAGTAACTGCTGCAAAATATCTACCTTCATCCGTGATAATGAAGAAACGACGCTTGGGAAATTTTGATTGATTTCTTGCATTGATTGCAAAGGATCAGAGGCATGAACTATCCTCTGTGCAGTTTGATGTCCTAAATCTGTGCAGTAATGGATAAAAAAATAAGTTATACAGTAATTTTGTAAATCTTGTCATGAATTATCAATGCATCAATAAAAATAATTACCTTTCAATTCCCAAACATCGAGTGTATCAGAAACTGTAGATGATAAGAGATAATCCCTGAATGCCATTATCTCAGATGTTAGTTCTGGTTTGCGCTCCTGCATATGTATGCACATGTGTGAGTTTTCTACCAACAATTTTCTAAATAACTTTTCTTCAGAAGCATTCTAATTCACAATAGCTAGAACTTAACTTAGTTCCTCCCCAAATATTTTAAAAGGTTTAATCATGTTACTACACAGTGATCCGTAATAAGTTTGTAATGCTAAAGGCCTAACACAACTTTCCTTTCATAGACAAAAATGAAGAACATTAAGCCCTTGTTTGAGCCCCATTTTGAGAGAAAAAATGCATTTTCTGAATAGTGATTTTTGGAATAGTATGGTTAAAAATGAAGAAAAGGTTTTCGATTTACGTGTAATATTACTTTATTGGAGAATGTGTGATTAAAAATAAGTTTCGAAAAAAATGACTTTTTGATAAAATGGGGCTCAAACGAGGGCTAAGTTCCATAATGAGCAGTGAAAATCTATGGCAACGTGCCTAGCAAAAGGGGATCACAGTTTTCTTCCAACCCTTCTACCATGGAAATCTGCTTTTATACCAGCTATTGCACAAATGCACAACAATACACTTCCTTTTTTACTTTCATAAACGTCTGGAAAAATTGAAATGCTGAATATATCTAGGAAAAATAATCCATTAGCTGGTGTTTTGTGTGTGCAGAGGCAACAGAAGATATCAATGACCTGTTAATTCCTTGTTTCTTTCAACTGGTCTTTTTATTGCCAGAAAGACAGAGACCCGGTTGCAAGGGTTAAGATTACATTGAATCTTCCTATAGATGAAGTGACAATTGAATGGAGTGCCGAAAAAGAATTCATGCAGCCGACCCTTAATTTATTGGAATACAGTTCAGTCTATTGTTGCTGATCGACTGATTTTACTGTTTTATAATATTTCTAATTTGATGATGTCTACATGAAAGGCCATTTAACTTTTATACCCTTTTTATACTTTCTTCTTGTGTGTGCGTGTGGTGGGGGGGTTGGTTTGGTTAGGGATTGCAGACGCAGGTAAAAAGGGACTAACCAAAATCTTGGAGAATATGAACCCTCTGACTTCTTGGTTGAGGTCTTCAGTATGAGGATCTTCGAGTGTTACACCTGCAACAAATATGAAAAATTTCAGAATCCTAAAGTAGTTTGATGTACTAGTATTCAGGGACAGGCATCGTCGTCGTCGTCGTCGTCATCATTTTATTTATGGAAATTCACTTATTTACGATGGTGTTCTAATTTGTGAAAGTAACTTTATCACTTACAGATGAAAAGAACAAATAAACAGTAGAAGTTATTTTATAGGAGCATTGTTCCTCATCATTATTCTAATCATTATTATTTCACTAATGGAACTTCAGATTCATGATTGTTACATTCTAAAGTTTGAAACTATCATGTGTCATACACAGATGCAAAGATCAAGTAGACAGTACAACATAATTTTAAAAATGATATATCATTGAAGACTCCAAAATTTATCAATTCCATAGAGCCCAACTGCCCTAGTAAACTCTTAAATCATGAGATCATATGAAACAACCGATGATATTAGTCCTGCTAAAATGAATACAAGCCTTTTTCAACTAGCAGAAAATTATCCAACTATTTTTAGGAGTGTGTATTCAATTTGGACTTTTAAAGACTTTTAAAGTAAATGACTTTTGTAGAATTTAATGAACATTTATAAACTTTTCCACAATCATTGAAAGTTTGTTCATAGACTTCTGTATACTTTCATTTGGAGATTTTTATATGATACATTTTACTTTTAAAGACTTTTATTTTAGGAAAAAAAAATATTGTATATAAAGTTATATGTCTATGTAACTCATTGATGAAAGAAAAGAAATCTCTAATGTTCGATATTATCAATATGTTCAAATCTATAGAAAAAAGGAAATCAGAATATTGAAATGATGATGATGATAAGAAGTTGACGAGAGCGAAAAATATTAATTTTTTTGTATCGTGGCTCCCAGATTCGTAGATGAAAGAGGAAACATAAATATTACACTTTTTTTTTTTTTTCTTTTCGGTAAAAATCATTCAATGCCTTGGGGGGTGAATGAGAGACTTCTTATGAGATTTTGCACTTGTACGTTCTGTTTAAAAATTTGTGCATGAAAGATTTTATAAAAATCATTAACATTTTCAATATTCCCGTGACTTTTTAAGACTTCAAAAAAATCTTGATTTAACACCCAAGACGTTTAAGGACTTCTAAAATTTTTATATTGAATACCCCAAGACTTTTATAGTCTTAATAAAAAGTCTTCGTTGAATATACATAGACTTTTTAAATCTATAGAAGTCTTTAAAGTCGAATAAACCTCCTTAGTGCATTTATCGTTAATATCAGTTGTTTCCAGGTATCAAATTAAAGAAGTATACGTTGTTTTTAGTTTTAAGATCAATTATTTTCCTTAGTTTGTAATAGGATAACAGATAACAGTAGCATTGTACTTGCATAATATATAATAATGACATACTTAGGAGACTTTTCCTCTTCTACATAGCATTTTAAACTAGCCCATGTCCAATGAATAATTTAGAACCCAAACACATAATAATCTGATATCAAAGTTGTAAAACAGCATCAAGGCTTTCACAGGGAAATAAATATAAGAATTTCTGTAAGATGCCAAGGTCTCTTCAGTAGATTCAAGATGAAAAACTAGGTACTGTGAACTATTCTACATTGAGAATAAATGGGTATAAGGATGTGAAAATGTGCAAGGCATCTACAAATTTGGCTAAAAACCACAATGGTTAACAAGTTCGGCATCTGCAGGCTGACAAAATGGAAAAGAAATATATAGTTGTTTCTCAAATCGAATAACTCTAAATTAAAATACAAATCCTTGAAATTGATAATCATGTATATTTTAGTAGAAACAGGAGTATAGAACAAGAATAAAGGTAAAGACTATAACAAATTTCAAAGAGAACATAGTATCCATTTCAACATGAAATGTTTTTGAGTTTTTGAGATAATTCTACAAAGAACAAGACGGTGAAAATATAACCTTTCTTTATGGCGGTGTCATCCATAGCCTTGTATTCCATATTCTTCAGAGCAAGCTCCACACCATAACCACCCAAGTTTAGATATTCATCGGCACCAATGGACCCACAAGGGCCACTTTTTGATTCGCACCCAGAAGGCAATACAGGTCTAACAACATACTTGACTTTTCCCTAAAAAATTGTGAATGTCGTCCAATAAATAAAAAGGTCTGAAAGTATTTGCTTATTGTAGATTCCCTTTCATAATATATCACAATAAAACAGAGATCAGCTTGCAAATTACAAAAATAAAAAAATCAAGACAGAACATGAAGAAATTCAAATTATCCCTAGATGAACCCCATTTGGGTCATGACAGAGGACACATCAAGTGAGCTGAATCAACAAAGTGACACACTTTTCTGAGAAAGTTCTGGAGTTAGGTAATGAAGCATGAATCCTTGATGCTCAAACTCACATTAGATATGTATGTCTAAAATGGTTTTTTAAGAATATTTGAAGGCTATCTTTGATATAATAACTAGCATGTGAAATAATGAAACATAGTAATATTTAAATAAATTTAAAAACCAGTGGTGGTGTATCATTGTACTGAGTTCAACTATTGCAAATAGAAGAAATAAAACCACTTGTCATGTACATAATCTTATTCCCAGCTATTAATAGTGTCGAAATCTACCAATAATTTGATTCCAGAAATCCAAAAGCCTGCCAATATATTTCCCAGAACCACCAAATATAGGAAATCGTTTCATTGAAATTACAATAAATTAGAAGCAAAGTATCATATTTGTATTGTACCTTCCTGGCAGCTTCGGCCAAGGTAAGATGAAATTCCTTAAAACATTCAGTCCCGAGAGCCCCATACAAAATGGCAATGTGACTTCCAGTAGTTGAATCTGGATGGACATGATCAAATTCAAAAATCTCAGGCTGCTGAAATGTATCATCAGCTCTGCCAACAAAAAAAGTACCATTATAGGAATGGAGTTAAAATCAACAGTTCTATTTACTTCTACAAGTATGCGCCAAGAAAATTGACATGGATAGAATGCACCAGGACATACGAAGCATTAGGACTTTGCATCCACAAGAGCAATTCTGGTACGTCGAAAAACAGTGACCCACCAGTATCAATCCAGCAACATCTTTTGCCTGGACTTTTTGGGTTCAAACCCAAAAGAAGGGGTTCAGACTTCTTGTTGTTTGTGGTTTCATTCGGTTCAGGGATCCCTCCATCAACGGGGTTTGAGCTAATATCTTCAGCTAGAGGAAAAGATGAAAGAGATTCCTCGGCTAACTGGCGATAGAGCACTAATCTTGGAGATGCAGACCGAAGAGTAAGAGAAAATTCAAAAACTGATGCCAAAGTTTCACTTAACAGAGATTTCCCATATTTGACAATTTTCCTTAAGCAATATTTCGCATTATTAGAATCAGAATCTTCATTCATAGACTGGTGCCATGATTCAATGAAGTCCCAGAAGTGGTCTTTCCATTCCTTAGAAAGTAATTCACTGTAAGACACGAAAAAGATTAAAGAGAAGTTCATAAGGATAATTGTAAAGGCAATCAACTAATATGCATTGCCAGTATAGAACACGAAAATCGTCAAGACAACATCTTTTGGCTAAGAAAATCCTTTACGTCAACCAAAACGAAATACGGTTTAACTACTAAGTAAGCCGGACTGAAGTGTCCAATCCAAATATTACATCATCAGAAATTAAAACACAATTATTAACCAATAAGAAAATGCTCAAAATCAGCACAAATTCACGGTTCGAGTATATGAAACGAACAATGATATATAAATATTTCCTTAAAACAAAGTAAGATCCAGCTATTAAAATGGTCAAAACAAAAGCATACCCTGCTTCTAGAAGTACTGGAGTTCCAGACCACTTGGCTCTAAGAGCCACCTGCACATTCTTAGGCTTGCGATTCTCCGCAGAAACTGAATGCCCAGAAAGGCTGATACACACTAGGATAAAAAAGCAAAATCCAGATCTAAACGGGGTCCTCATAATTGAATCTTGATCGAATTTAGCCTCCCTTTTTCAAGATTGGTGATCAATGCGTGTCCATTTATAAAGAACAACTAAAGATTGAATCTTTGATGGTTTTCCCCAATGGTTCTATGGGACAGTGTTTTATTGCGACTGAAAAGGAGTGTTTGGGATTTTAGTGGAACGTTTCCAGTGCAAAGCGAGGTTTGA